TCTGAGGGGGTGGTGCCTCTGTCCCTGGAAGTCTTTCTGAAGCTCTCGGAAAAGCTGGGGCTAGCAGGAAAGTACCAATAATTCTTGCCACACAGGATGAGGCATATGTTTTTTTACATCTCAAAATAGCCATGGGGGGAAGAGCAGCATGGCTCAGAAGCTGAAGGTCTCACACTTTTTGAGAGCATTTAAATTGCAAATGGAGTTTCTGTATTTTTATGATGTCCAGGAAAGTCCTTCAAAGGCTCCAGAGAAAGTGGTGTGCTGTTTTGTGTTTGAATGTTCAGATTCTTCCTTTTACATAGCTCTTGTGCTTCTTCCAGTAAAGGATAGTGTTTCCCTAGGAGAGCACTTGCCTTTGAAAAGTGACTGTGAGGTGCAGGGGGGCCACATCTACAGCCTGTCAATGATGTACAGTTGATGTTGCATTGACTTTATAAAGCAAAAGCTGTCCTGGTTTATTTACTTCATTATCCCAAGGTGTTTGTCTCCATTCGTCACCAGGAAGCAATGAATCCTTTCAGCTAAAGTTCAAAGATGGCTCCTGGCAGGTTTCTTCAGGGTTCAGTCATTCATCAGGGATGAGCAAGTATTGTCAGAGTACAGTGTGTCATATCAACTTTGGATATTGAACATAGGTTTTCAGGTGAATTCGTCCTTAGAGGCCTCTGGCTAGACCTCCAACAAATAGAGGGGGAGCCAAGAATGACTTGCTGAGCTGGAAATGACTGCCTTTGTCTGGGGAAATCCTACCCCTGGTGAACTAGATGGTGTGTTTTCCAGTTTTTTTTTTAATTCGTATGCTGCAGCCCAACCCTGGCTAGGTTTGTGCAAGCTTGAGGCAGGTGCACAGAGGCTCCTATGCCTGCAAGGCTGCACCTTGCTGGCCTTCTGTGCTCACTTCAAAGTTCTGGGACCACAGGGCCACCTCTGGGCACCTTCTGAAGGCACAGAGGTGTGTCTGGAGGACAGCATTAACAGTGAGAGCTGTTGGGAAGCACCTACCTTGCATAGCCTCTGGTTCTGGCTACTTGGTACCTAATCTTCCTGAGTCAAGTGCAGCAAGCAGGTGTCTCTTGAAGTCATGCCAGAGGCAAACTAGTGGCATAATAAGGCTCCATTTTACTTGATCGGTGCCTCTAATGAGGATGCTGTTTGAAGTTCTAAATGTGTGGTGATTGCAGCGGAGAATGTGCCTGGAGCCATCAATAATTAACAAGTTCTTGGGAAGTCTTAATGAGGCCCGCTCTCCTCTGCGAACTCCCACCCAAAATCCTCTGCCGACACAGCTCCATCTGGTGCAGTTTGGGAGTTCAGAGCTGTTGCTCTAATGGGTCATGTTTTCGGCTATGGAGAGGGGTCAGCCTGGTGGCTGCGGTGCGAGTGGGCCCCCAGTGTGCACATAGCCCCATGTGTCCTGGTGAGTTCTTGTGCTGTGTCTTCTTTGCATCAAGACTAGGGCAGGTGGACCTCCAAGATCTCAGCAAGGTCTAGCCAACATATCATAGTTTTTGTGTAGCACCTTGAAAGTGTTTTGCTGCCAAAATCTGCATCTACTTTTGATATGCTTTTTTCTGCTAATGACAAGGTATTTTTGAGTGGGGTTTTTTTCTGGCTCCTTTCTGAAGGGTAGCATTTCTGAAGGGGCTGTCACTTGGCAATGCAGGTGACACATTTGAAGACCCTTTGTGGTCTTACCTTGGCACAGCCAGTGTGTTGCTCCATATTCAGAATTCTTTGCAAACACAAAGCAAAATTACTCTGGCATCTCTCCAGAGACTGTCCTGTCCTGTGCCTGGCCATCAGGAGGTTGTGTGATAAATACCCAGTATGCACTGGTTTGCCTTTCTTTACTGTCTAATCATGTCTCCAAGAAGTAGCAAAGAAAACCAAATCAAAGGCAGGGTTGGGAAGCTGGGCATCCCTGGCCATGGATCCTAGTGAGAGAGAGAAAGGGGCAGTGCAGAGCAGCATGTGAGCTGTGTCTGCATGCAGCTCTTTGGAGAAGACCATGGTGAGGATTCCTTGCTCACTGTCCATCTGGGGTTTGGTCCACAGACATGAAAGCCACACCTGGAGCTTGGAGCGAACGGAGAGCCTGACTTCAGATTCCCAGTCTGGGATTATGCTGTCCTCGGTGGGAACCAGTAAATGCAACAGCCCTGCGTGTGTGGAGGCACGGGCTCGCCGTGGGGCAGCCTTCTGCATTGAGGACTCGCAGAGGCCCATGATGCAATATCGTGACTCGGTGGATTCTCTGCGGGACTCACCACACAGCGAGAGGTCAGACCCCACTACTCAGTGCTGCCCCAGCACAGCAGAGGCGAGCTGTGCTCTCTGTGCTGAATGCAAAAATGTTTGCCTCTGCCCAGCTTAGAGCAGCAGTCCTGTGGTAACACTGGAGAAATTCCAACTCTGGTCCTACCAGAAGAAGCCACTGCCACATGAGGCTACTCTGGTAGGGGCAGCAGCAAGCACTGCACTCTGCTCACCTGGTGGCAACACAGTTTTGGAGCACAGGGATAAGAGGAATGGAAAATACCTGGCTGCAGTCAGCAACTGGTGAAGAACACACCCTGGGCAGCTTGGTGGGCTGGCAGCTCAAGCAGTGTCTGGCCCTCAGGTATCTGGGGAAAAGACATGTGTCCTCAGCATAGCCCTGCATGGCCTGGTGAGCAGGGGTGCTGTGTGTGGGAACAGCCTTGGGACAGGGATCTGCATGACCCAGCCTTCCAGGGAACACAAATGAAGAGCTGAGACACAATCTACCGGTCAGAGGAAGAAACAGTCATCCTCTTGCGGGGTCTGGTTCCTCATAGCGCAGAAGCACATCTCCAGCCCTTTGTGGTTAGCTATGGGCGACCCTGGGTGGCCATTGGATGAAATCTCCTCCTTAGAAGAAGGTGATGTCGAAGCAAGGGCTGTTTGGAGAGAGGGTAGACCAGACCTGAGTTGCCATACTAATATTGTCACTACAGTAGATGAAAATGGTAGATGCCTTTTTGAGACATAAGATTTTTGAGAAGTCAGAGTAAGCAATGCCCGGGCTTTCCACATCTGAGGCCTGAGCAGGGAGAGGGCGTTTCCAGGACCTTCCTCAGAGGCAAGCCCGCCAGCTCCAGAGGGAACAGAAAGCAGTCGGCAGGCAAACAAGAGTCTTGACTCAGCCTGCTGGGGCATGCTGTAAGGTTTGCAGTGATGCAGGGTGGGAATTGCACACAGAGTCCCTTGGGAGAGGCAGTCCTGGGATACACAGTGCATGGTGCTCAGCAGCTCACCTTACCTCAGCACAGCGGTGCAAGGTCCCTCTGCCTTGTTTCCTGGGAGATGCCAAGCTCCAGAACCAGCTGCACTGGAGGCCTCCTGTGTCCCTGCACCAGGTGTTCAGCAGAGTACGGGCATAGCTGAAGGTTTTTGGGGTTGTTTGGTGTCCAAACGGAGGTGTTGCTTCTTTCAGGTACGTGTCAGCCCTGACCACACCAGCACGCCTGTCACCTGTCGACTTCCACTACTCGATGGCCACGCAGGTGCCCACCTTCGAGATCACCTCTCCCAACTCAGCTCACGCTGTCTCCCTGCCACCGGCGGCCCCCATCCTCTTCCGCGTGGAGGAACAGCAGCCCCTCCTGCGGCGGTACCAGCTCCCCTTCCAGGACACGCAGAGGTACGACAGCTACTACCAAAGGAAGACCTACCTAAACGACAGCATGGGCAGCCTGCCGTCCAGCCCCTTCCGCATCACAGAGGATGACGAGTACGAGACGACACAGGAGTATGTCACAGCGCTAGAGCAGCCAAAGAAAACAGCCAGTAGCAACAGGCGGTGGAAAAAATCCAAACTGAATGGGCATGTCCCTCACAGAGCCAGAGCCGTCCGGGACTCCTTCTCCTTCAGCAGCGCCTCTTACAGCGAGTCTGACGAGGAGCTGGTGGCCGAGAGCACGCCCTTCCTAAGCACTCAGAAAAGTGAGGCGGCGCAGACAGAGTCGCCCCCGCTCCACCGGCTGGGCGACAGCCGGACTCACTACTCCTGCAGCAGACACAGTGCTCACGGGGAGGGCGGGCGCCGCAGACCGGCGCACACGACGCCCAAACCGGACCCGGATCCTCTCTAGGTGCCTCCCAGACTCGCACGTCTGCAGACATAACCCGCATGGAGGAGGCCAAGGAGGGGGACAAGACAAAACAAAACAAAAATAAATATTTTTATTTTATATAAAAGAGGGGGAAAAATATAACAAATAAAATCTTTTATTTTCATTTTAGCAAAGTTGTCTTATAATAGCTAACAGCAATGACTTTTTTATAGGGAATCTCTATTTATAAATAATGTCTTGATTTACAGCTTCCGAGAAAAAAGTGGGGGAAAAAAAAAAAGAAGAAACGAAAACAAACAATAAAGTTAAAAAAAAGCGGGCCAATTTTTGACTACTTAAACATAGAAAACAAAACTATCGTGGTGCCTTTTGCTGTATGCTAGTGCTGGGATTCATGCCGAGGATTCTGTTTCAGTAGCATTTTTAAGATCATAGATTTTCGTTTGGGAGACAACCTGTCATAAGGGTGCTCTTCCGTCACAAGAAAACAGCCTTGCCACTTTGCCCCCTACCCTGCTATTAATGATCTTATTCTTTAAGGTATTGTTTAGACACACATCAAGGACATGAGTGGGAGCATTTCGATTATCATGTCTAATGGGGATCTGTCTTGCCGTGTAAAATACTTGTATTTTTGCTTAAATCAGGAGAAGAAGAAACCCAACAGCACCGTACTGAAATGCAGAAATAATGTTTCTTCTGCACACAGGTAGGAAGAGAAAATGAAATCGTACAGCAGCAGCAGCCCTTACAATATAGCTCTCAACATACGGCCATTTCCCCTGTGGCTCTGAAGTTGGGTTGGCACAGGTTTGTAGTCAAACAAGGCAGACACCCATATGAACGTGGTGAAATAATATCCCGTTACCTACAGTTGAATCCAGTTCACCGAAACCAGCCTTGGCAGGCAGACGGCACTGTGCGGTGGTCCCAACAGGACAGTCTCCATTCAGCTGTGGTGCCCTGTGACTGCATTGCCATACTGGTGCCGTGCTGGCCACGGTGTCCCAGTGACCGAGCAGTGTAGCCACGGTGCGGCATTGGCCAGGGCGTCATGTGCTGTGGTGCTGTAGGGCTGCCAGGGCTGTGGCGTCCTGCGTGCTGTGCTCGGCTGCGGTTCAGGCAGTGCTGGGAGGACACTCAGAGGGCGGCCCTGTGGTGTAGCATGGCTATGGCTTACTCTGGACACTGTGCCAGGTAGCTGCCAGCTGTGCTGCCTTGGGGTTTGGCAGGAGCCTGAGCCCTTTTGGCCCCGCTTGTTGCCCCTGCATTGGCTGGGAAGTGTCCTACATGGGGCAGCCCAGCGAGCAGATTCTTCTGTGCCTCCGTGCCGTATATTGTAAAGACAGTTGTTACCGTCATGTCTTGCGTTCGATAATGGACGTCATGTTTCTGAACTCAAAGAAGCTCTGGCCATTGGCGCTCTGGCGCAAAGAGACAGTCCTGCGTGTCCAGGCAGCAGAGCATCCCCTGTGGAAGTGCCCCTCTCTCCTCAGTTCTCTGCAGCAAACCTGTTTACATTGTAGCCTGACTTTTTTCTTTTTATATTTTTACTTCTGCATGTCCTTTGCATTTCAGATACTGTAGATTGGATGCATGGTGAAGCTGTGACTGAGAAGATAATACAACAATTGACAGTGTATTTCATTTAACTTTTAGCAATAAAGTAACTAAACCCTCTATTCCTCACCCATGATGGGGTCAGATAGAAAACTCTGCTAATTTGTCATAAGATGATTGTCAAAGTTTGCTCTGGATTGTCTGAATGTCAGAACTCTCGACTGTTTAACACTTGAACATTTTTTATATTATAAATAAAATAAGAAATAAGAAGCTGTGGGCTGCATTAATCTCAGGTAATATGGAGGGCAAATGGGGAACTGTGACTAGTACCATACACAGAATCACAGGCTGGTTGAGGTTGGAAGAGACTGCTGGAGGTCATCTGGTCCAACTCACCTGCTCAACCAGCTCACCCAGAGTCAGTTGCCCAGGACTGTGCCCCATCAGGTTTCGAATATCTCCAGAGATGGTGGAAACTTCTGCAGTGCTTGGTCATCTTCAAAGTAAAAAAATGTCTTCTTGTGTTCAGACTGAATTTCCTATTTTTTGATTTGTGCCCATTGCTTCTTGTCCTGTCACTGGACACTACTGAGAACAGTCCAGCTCCCTCTTCTTCATTGCCTCCCATCAGGTATTTATGCACATGGATAAAGTCCCCCTGAGCCTTCTCTTCTTCAGGCTGAAGAGTCCCAGCTCTCTCAGCCTCTGCTCATATGAACAATGCTCTGGTTCTGTAAACAACTTTATGCCCATAGAGACTCACCAGTGGGTGTTTTTCTACCTGGCATGGACATTCGACCTTCACTGCAGGGCTCAGGAGTAGAGGCTCACTGAGGTGAGTGGATGCTACCCACACGTCTCCACCTGCAGACCGGGAGATACCCCTTCACCCCACCTGTGGAAACTTTCTGTTGTGCCAAGGAAGGCCAAAATGTATGGCATGTGCTTCACTGGCTGACACTGAGTTCAGTGACTCTTGCAATAGAGTGGAGATGTGTTGGGTCCAATTCTGCAAGTGCTATGCCGCCATGCAACATATACCTACCCACAAAACTGGTCCCTTCTTCAGCTCTTCCATGTCAAGTCTTGTGTCTGACTGGCCCCCATGTAGGGGAATCACTGAGAATATGGTGTATTCACAGTAAGCACACTTCCTGAGCTTGCACCCGTGCCTCAGTCCAGTTTGGACTCTACTCCCTTGTTGCTGCTCAGTGAGATGAACAGGTGCCCAAAAGTCCCATCTGAACTCATCTAGTTGGAGAGGGATCTGCTACACACTGGTCTGAGTCAACCCCATAGGAATGCACAGAGCCATGAGAGAAGTCCCCAGTCCTCATAAGGATGCCCATGCTGAAGGCCAGGCTAAGCACACACACAGCTTGGGCTTCTTTTGCTCCAACTCTCTCCATTGCCTTGAAGCTGACTTGGATGGGTCACAGGCCACCCCTAGCATCCATTGCACGTGCTGTGGGTACTCCAGCCAGACCAGAGGGCTCAGCACTGCACCTTGAATAAAGGCATCTCAACACTGATTTCCCAAAAGTTTAAAGGCTAAAGGATGCTGCCCTCCTGCCACGGGGCCCATGTGACCCAACAGCAATGTTCAAAGGAGGTCTTAAATGTCTAGGACTGGGGATAAAGGAGGTGAATCAAGTCCTGATTTGAGTGACATTTGGTCTTACTGGACGAAGGCAGCACTACTGTGCATCTCTCCACCCTCCCATTACTCTTGGGACAGGCTGCAACTCCCCGTTGCCTTTGGTCGTCCAATTTATCTCCTCCAGCATCTCCTGGAGCATGATGAGATGGACAGGAATGGGCAGAGAGCACCTGACCCCCTGGAAGGGACATGTGTGGGAGGTCACTTAGGGTGAGGATCCCTGGGGAAACAAGCCAGAGAAGAAGAGAGAGATAGGAGGCCTTTGAGTTCCCAAGGCAACCCCATCTCCCTGCCTGGCTCTCCTCAGCATCTGTTAGCTGGTGAGCTCTGTTCACGCAGCAGTCCACCCAGGGCTGGTATAGCAGTGCCTGCATTAAAAGAAGGCTCCTGCTCTTGGGCCTCCTGCTGCCATGCTCTGGGCTGGGGTGTAGAGTGACAGTGTGGCCGAACTTCAGGGTATGCTCAGTGCAGCTGATCCATGCTAGACATCACCTCTGGGTGCCTCAGAAAGGAGCTGCAGGTTTGCCAAGTGCTGCCCCGTGCAGGGGGTATTTTCCTGCTCCGTTGTTTGTAGGGATCTCTGACTCTGCATCTGCTGAGACACCATGAGCTCTGAGCCATGGCAGCCTCATGAGTTCTTGTGGTGATTTCTTCTTCAGTATGCCCTTTGATTCCATAATTGTGTTCTATATTTGGAGGTAGTTCAATTTTCTCTCCAGCTGTCTCTGAAGGAAGCCTGTATCTCTCTCCTTTTTCCCTGGCTGTTTTATTTTTAGACCCCTCATTTCCAGCCATGTGTATCCCTAGGGTTTGGCTGTAAATATTTTACAGCAGTTTTCACAGGTCGGGGGAGCCACCAAAGCCTCCTGCCAGCTCTGCTCCACATGTATGATGCCTTTGCCACCCTTCCCAGAGGGAAGGGAATTGCTCCACTGACACATACGGCATACGGGGTGACACAAACAGGAGAGGAGCATCAGTTCCTGGCTTTAGGATTGCAAATCTTCCCCCCTAAAAAAGTCCTTCCAAAAGGAATTTGGTGTCAGGTTGTGTCCAGGAGAAGGGGCCTGGCAGGAAGGTCAGGCTGAACCAGCACCATCAGGGGATGCTGTCTAAGATCTGGAGCAGCCGTGCTGCCTGCTGGAGGGAACACGCTAGGCCTGTGCCAGGAAGTGCATTTGGGTACCTCCAAGCGGAGAAAATGATGTGGCTGCTTAATTCCTCCGAGATGCTGCTCTTGTCTCTTG